AAAAAAAAAAAAAAAGACTTCACCAAAAGAGTCAAAAGACAACCTACAGACTGGAAAGAAATTTTTGGCCATGAAAAATCCGATCAGCATCTAATCTCTAAAATCTACAAGATACTGCAAAACCTCAAAAACAAAAACACAAATAACTCAATTAAAAAAATGGGCAAAGGACACGAACAGGCACTTTGCCAAAGAAGACATTCAGGTGGCTAACAGACACATGAAGAAATGTCACAATTATTAGCCCTTAGAGAAATGCAAATCAAAACTACAGTAAGACACCGTCTCACCCCAACAAGGCTAGCATTAATCCAAATAACACAAAATAATAAATGTTGGAGAGGTTGTGGAAAGACTGGAATATTGATACACTGCTGGTGGGAATATAAAATGGTACAACCACTTTGGAAATTGATTTGGCGCTTCCTTAAAAAGCTAGAAATAGAAGTACCATATGATCCAGCAATCCTACTCCTTGAAATATATCCTAGAGAAATAAGGGCTGTCACACAAACATATGCATACCCATGTTCATTACAGTACTGTTCATGACAGCAAAAAGACAGAAACAACCTAGGTGCCCATCAGTGGACGAATGGATAAACAAATTACAGTATATTCACACAATGGAATACTACACAAGGATAAAGAACAATGATGAAACCATGAAATATAACATGGAGGAACCTAGAAGGCATTATGCTGAGTGGATTTAGTCAGCCACAAAAGGGCAAATATTGTATAAGACCACTATTATAAGAACTCAAGAAAAGGTTTAAACACAGAAGAAAACATTCTTTGATGGTTTCAAGGATGGGGAGGGAGGGAGAGGGTTATTCACTAACTAGATAGTAGACAAGAATTATCTTAGGTGAAGGGAAGGACAGCACGCACTACAGGGGAAGTCAGCACAACTGGACTAAACCAACTGGACTAAACTGTATTCCTGAATACAACCAAACACTTCAGAGGACAAAGTAGCAGTGGGGTAGGTCTGGGGACCAAGCTTTCAGGGGACATCTAGGTTAATTGGCATAACAAAGTTTATTAAGAAAATGTTCTGCATCCTACTTTGGTGAGTGGTGTCTGAGCAACCATCTAAGATGCACCAATTGGTCCCAACCCACCCGGAGTAAAGGAGAATTAAAAACACCAAAGTCACAAGGAAAGTATGAGCCCAAGAGGCAGAAAGGGCCACATAAACCGGAGACTGCATTAGCCTGAGACCAGAAGAACTAGATGGTGCCCAGTTGCCACCAATGACCGCCCTGACAGGGAACACAACAGAGAGTCCCTGGTGGAGCAGGAGAAAAGTGGGGTGCAGAACTCAAATTCTAGTAAAAAGACCAGACTTAATGGTTTGACTGAGACTGGAGGAGCCCCAGAAAGCACAGCCCCCAGACTCTCTGTCAACCCAGCACTGAAACTATTCCCGAGGCC